TGAATGTTTTTGATGCCTTTGTCTAGATTGACATAACAGTATTTATGTGGGTTTGTCTCTCTGTCTTCTATTCTGTACCATTGGTGTACCCTTGTAATTTATGTCAACAGAATCATGCAGTATATATTCAATTTTTTCCAAATATTAAGTTTTGGAGTTTTAGCTACATCTTTGTGTATAGTTGTAGCTCATTATTCTTATTACTGTGCAGTATCCAATGTATAAATAGACTAGAATTCAATTATACTCTCCTATGATGGCCCTAGGGACTGTTTTCCTGGCTCTTATGAATCAAGCTGGCATGAACATTCCTTTCCCTACTTTTCAGGAGTTATTCACCCTCATTGTTCCTCAAAAGATACCAAGGGATAGAATATCTGGTCATAGGGCAAATTACCATTCAGCTTTAGCAGGAACTGATAAATGGTCTTCAGAATGGTTGCCCCAATTAACACGCCCGCCAACAGTGTCTAGGGTTACCCCCTCACTGTCACCAATCCTTGGTGTTGCTGTCATATCTATTACTTTCAAGTCTTTGGGTCACCAGGAAGTAGCAAGAGAAACCCTGACAGAGACCAAGTGGGGACATTCACTCAGAGCAAGAAACAGAAAGAGTCAGAGAGAGAGAAAGAGAGAAACACAGTCAGGAAGAACCAGAAAAGTAAAGGTAGAAACCCAGACAGAGAGGAACTTTGAGAGCAAGGTCAATGGGTAAAGGAAAACACATTCAGAAAGAAAGGAGAAAGAAAAGGAAGATGGAAATAAACTTGGCAATGGGCAGAAGCTGAGGAAGGGGTAGGGACAATGTTGACTGAGGAGCCAGTAGCAGAGGAGGGGAGAGGGACAGAAGGGACAAATGACCTTGGGAGGCAGGCTCTGGAGAAGGCCACACATAGAAATGGGTCTCCTAGTATTATATAAAACATGGCCTTTAAAAAAAAGTGATTCTTGATATTTTTATGTTTGTATGTTTAAACATGGATCCAGCCTCATGGAAAATGCATGAGGAATAAGTGGTTTCAGGGAATGTTTTATACATGACTCAGGAGCTGTGAGGAGGCAGAGGTGGTGGGAGGGGGAGATGTGTTGGCCACTACTTTCTTGGGCCTCCCTGTCAGGTGCATGGGGCAGACAGGGATTCTCACAAGGTCAAGGGGAAGGCAGCCTAGATTTGTGGACAAGATGGTGCACCTGGACCCACTCTCAGCTTCACCCATGCTGGGACTTTGAACATCCTCATCTCCCTGAGCCTCATTTCCCCTCTGCACCATTGGATGCTCACAGTGCCCATTTGGGGAGAGAGGTTGATCTGACTTAGGGCCAGGGGGACCACAGGGCTTAAAAAACAAAGGCCATCAGCAATTTAAAGCACATCCTGAAAAACACAATGTTAGCAGAGGGCTCAGAAAAATCCAACCCTGGTTATTGTCCCCCACTAAACTGAAACACACCAGAGGATAGCAAGCTACCTGGAGTCAGTAATTTTTGTCTGGTCTAGTCACTTATATTCAGAAAAGTATGTGGTACACTGTGGCAATAGATGCTCCCTAAGTAACACACACTCTAATGTGTGTTATGGAAAGAGTCAACAGAATATAATGGAAAGAGTCAACAGAATACTACTCAGCCATTAAAAAAAAAAAAGAATGACTTTACGACATTTGCTGCTAAAAGGTAGATCTGGAGACTATATGCTAAGCAAAATAAATCAATCCCCCCCCAAAAAAAAACAAAGGTCAAATGTTTTCTCTGATATGAGGAAGCTATCCCTCAATAAGAGAGGGGATAGAAATTCCATAGATTAGATGAAGGGGAATGAAGGGAAGGGAGAGGAATAGGAATAGGAGAGACAGTGGAATGAATCTGGCAGAATTTTCCTATGTACATATATAAATGCACCATAGTGAATCTACACATCATGTAGAAATACAAGACTGGATCCTAATTAGAATAAGATGTACTCCATCTTTGTAAAAACATGTCAAAATACACTCTACTGTCATGTATAATTAAAAAGAACAAATTTTTTAAAAAGGAAAAAAGAATAAGTGAAAATGGAATTATATAGAACTCAAAAATGTATAATCTTTTTTTAAAGAGTTTTCAACTTGTGATCTACTGATTTTCTACTACAAAATAATCCCCTGTGACATAACTGGTGACACCTTCATAGTACCACATCACATATAAGAATTGTAACTTTTTCCAGTCTCATCTTGTGGCCATCTACAAATCTCAGAAAAATACGAATAGCTATTCTATACAGAAATACATGATCATTTTCTTGGAATAAATGTCTGGAAGAGAAATCAGTGGATCAAAAAACAGGTGCAAGCCAGGGGTGATGGTACACGACTCAAGAGTCTGAGGCAGGGGGATTGCAAGTTCAAAGCCAGCCACAGCAACAGCAAAGTGCTAAGCAACTCAGTGAGACCCTATCTCTAAATAAAACAAAAAATATGGCTGGGATGTGGCTCAGTGGCCAAGTGCCCCTCACTTCTATACTGGATACCCCCCCTCCAAAAAAAAAGCAGGTTCACACAGTAAAATAGTATTCAGCTATAAAAAAAAAAAGAACAAGTACATATTACAATATGGAGGAGCCCAGAAAATGATATGGTAAGCAAAAGAATCTAGACTTGAAAGATCACAGGATCTACTGAAAAGATCACATGATCCACTTATAGGAAAATGTTCAGACTAGGTAGATCTATAAAGACCGAAGGTAAATTCCCAGTTGCCTGGGGCTGGGGAGAGAGTAATAGGGAATGACTGCTCAACGGACGGGGTTTCCTTTTAGCATGATGAAATGCTGTGGAATTAGATAGAGGTAAAGATTACAATAACATGGGTGCACCAAATGTCACTGAAATGTTTCAATTGTTTGAAATGGTTAATTTTATGTTATGTGAATTTCACCTCAGTTACAAAAACAAAGCAGGCATAATGTCAAGGCCAGCTTCCGCCAATTTGTGCATCCACCAATGATGCATCTGAGTGCCCTCAAAGCTGAGGTGGCACTGATGGCTTTCCATCAGTTATGCCTGGTTATCTCTGCAGGGGAAATGCATCAATTGTCGGTGAGATTGGTTTTACTGGAGTCATTCATGTTCATATTCCATTAACATGATCATATTTTCTGATTATAATGGAGCATTGGTCTTAGTGTTTCTCAAAAATGCATTTTCCATTGATAACATCCATCCTCACCATGAGTGTTAGTCAGCTTTTTGCCATGGGACCAAAAAGTCAGACAAGAACAACTTAGAGTAGGAAAAATATATTTTGGATTCATGGTTTTTCAGATGTCTCAGTCCAAGGAGTGCAAGGAGATGAAGCAGTGACTGTAGAAATAAAGAGTGAGACCAGACCCACTTTACCCCCTGCGAGATAGACTTTGGCCAGGTCTCCATTTATCACGCGGTTTTCATAAAACCTTTCTCTAAGCTGTGCATGATGGTGGTGCCTGTAGTGACAGCTCCAGGGGAGGCTGAGCTGGAGGATCACTAGAGCCCAGGAGTTCAAGTCCAGCCTGGGCAACATAGAGAGATGCCAACTTTCAAAAAGGGAAAAACAAAGACTCTAACTTTAATCAATGGGCCACAATGGTGATTTGTGTCCTTTGGAATCCATTTCAGTGCAGATCCTGTATCTTGGTTAGAAATTCTGAGCATTCCTCTTTATTCGCTCTGTAGTTACCATTAAGGGATAGTAAAGACTCCCCCTGTGAGGAAGGATCAGGGGCCCCTCCCTTCCATTCTGTGCTTTTGACTTGAACCACCTTAGATCTGGAAACTAGCTGAGGAAGAGTGATTTTTCATTCCCATGATTGATATCAGCCTGCTGCTTGTCAGTTCTGAGGTTCTTTTTCTTTTCATTTCTTTTTTTTTTTTAAAGTTGTAGATGGACAGAATATCTTTATTTACTTGCATGTGGTACTGTGAATCAACCCAGTGCCTCACACATGCTAAGCAAGCCCCAACACTCTCTGTTTCTAATAAGGGGGGAGATGAAGGGCAGTTATACAAATCAAATATCTTAAACAGCTATCCTTCGATCTTGCCCCCTAGAACATCATGAACATCAGCTTATTCATTCAGACTCATGCCTTGGTGCTCATTAAGTTAATTATCAATCAATAGGCTCATTTGATTAGAGGAGGTACATGTATTCTCCCTATCTTAAGGTCAACTGATTGGGAACCTTAATTATATCTGTAACAATCTAACAGGAGTACCTAGATTACTGTTTGAACAACTAGGAAAAGATGTGTGCACCTAGGTCAGGTGAAACTTGGGGACATCTTAATTTCACCTCAAATACCTCCTACTGTTTGGGAGTGGAAACGATGTGCTCATCAGAACTAGATGAACCTGTGTTTACCATAGGGCAAGAGACTTCAAAGCTCATTTATTAGTAAGCACTGTGCTACAGTATGGAATTGTAGGCAGGGGTGGTGTGGAGGTGGAGGCCATGCCCTGGAGAGGTGGGAATAGTATGAGTGACATAAGCTGTCCAGTGGAGGCCCAGAAGCTCGTCCAAGGAAGAAAGGGGTAGGAGCAGAGTCCAGGACATCGAGCCTCAGCCTGAGAGGAGGCACCAGGCAGGCACCTGCCTATATGCTGGGAGTACTCCCAGATTTGGCTTCCTAAAGCAGGACTAAGTAAGACACAGCTAATGCCCAGAGACTCCTCACGGTGACTGGATTTTCGCTTCCACCTCTGGTATAGATCAACCCTTAATATTGCAAGTAGAATTCATATTCATGATGAGGGCATCACCTGGGGCTTTACACAGGCATTTTTGTTCCTTCAACTTGAATCCCTTTCATAGGTAACCTCTCATTTCCCCGCCCAGCATTACGTCACTGGGGCTGGGCGGGATCCCAGGATAGAAAAGCAGAGCTACTGGCTGAGGCAGTCTTCCCTAAACCAAGAGCTCTGGCCTCCTCTCGCTCCAAAGAGGCCTTCACCTCAGCTCCTTCACCAGCTTTGGGCATCATGCGTGAAATCGTGCTCATCCAGGCAGGCCAGTGCGGCAACCAGATCGGCGCCAAGGTGGGCACATCGCTGGGGAGTGGACTCTGTGTGACACATGCCAGGGCCAGCGGTCCAGGAGGGAACTGGGGTCTTGAGCTGCCAGGTGTGCAAAGGCAGAACAACCTGCCACCATGAATATGGTGATGGAGCTAGGTGTGCCTTGAATCAGTGACCTTTAAATTGCCTAGGGACACAATCCTTTGTGGGCACACTTTTCCTCATGATGGCCACTTTCTTCCTCTGCCACTCAGATGCCCTCCCAACACCATGCCTACCCTCCCTCACCCATTCGTTGCCAGGGTTAGGATCCAGAGGACAACATGTACATGGCTGCCAATGACCTGTACCCTTCAAAGCTGCCTGGGGTTTGTGCAAGGAGTGAGGCCACTTGATCCTTGGTCCTGCTAGAACCCATCCTGGGACCCATCCATCAGCAGGGATTTAGGGACATTCAAACTTGCCTGGAGGGACAGCCCCACTGTGCCCACTGCTTCCTGAAAGAGGTTCTTGGTCGCCCCCTTCTCTCCCAATGTGCTTCCAGCCCATCAGTCTGTGACCATATATGGCTCGTGCCCTGCAGACTTCCAAACCCCTAGGAAGCAACTGATATGGGAAATAGACCAGCTCTCTGGTCTTAGTCTGACACTCTTAACTCTCTGATCACTATTCCAAGGCCATTCTAGTGACAGGATGCAGGGCCATGAGTGATTTTTTTTTTTTCATTTCAGTTTTGGGAGGTCATCAGTGATGAACATGGCATTGACCCCACAGGCAGTTATCATGGAGATGGTGACTTACAGCTGGACAGAATCAATGTGTACTACAATGAAGCAGCTGGTGAGTATATGCATATTAAACTTACTTCCCATACTGTGGCAGAGGAAAAGTCCTAGGTGCATAGAAATGACAAAGGAATGCATTTTTGCACATTCATATAAAATGCCAACCTCAAAAAACAGACTTCATACTTCCTTAATAGTCCTTTTTTATTTAACACGACTAAGCATGCACAGCATTTTTTTCCCCTTTTCTCTTTTTCCCTTTTCATTCCTTTGTCTCAAATGTTGGAATCTTCTGTAATGAATTCTTCTGTGAGAATTACATAGAATTATGACCCTACCCATGTTTCTTTACCAAGCACAGGTGTAAGTGAGTTTTTGTTCCTGCAGGCAATAAGTATGTTCCTCGGGCCATCCTAGTGGACCTGGAGCCAGGAACGGTAGACTCGGTGAGATCGGGACCATTTGGCCAGATATTCAGGCCAGACAACTTTGTGTTTGGTATGTCCTCATGGTCCATGGGACTGTGACTCACCTTCTTCCTGACAGCCACACACTTCACAGTTCTCAGTGTTCTGTGCCCAGGTGAGACTGTGTCCACAGATGGCCCCAGTCCTGGCCTAACCCCTTGCATGGGGGTGGGGAGATATCTCTGGTCACTCTGGACAACTCAGGATTTCATGTCAGCCTCCTTTACAACAAGCCCTGAAGGGAAAGACTCAAGAGCAAGAAGAGCTTTTAATGAGGCTTAATAGGCTACAGGTCACTTGAAGGGACCAGGGAAAACAGTGAACCAAATTAAAGTAATGAAGGCCAAAAGCACAGCCTGTGACCAAGATTCAGACAGCTGCCTAGAGTCCCTCTTTCCCTCTGATCACACTGTGCCTTCCTCTTGCCTAATCGTACTGCATGAGAGCAGTGAACAAGGTTCCCCTAATTGCCGAGGCAGCTGAATTTAGTTAAATATTTTCTCTTCCTCAACTTGTTTTTTTTTTCACCTTAGGATGATCCCCAGCAATTTTGAGGTTCACTGATAACATTCAGTCTTGCAGACAGTCTTAGGTAACCAAAGCATATCTAAAAGGTTTTGTAAGACTAGTCCCACCTTCTCCACAGTGCAAATGACAGCATCCAGAATCCTTGTCCGTTTGTGTCTCATATTCTCTTTCCTGTGGCAGGCCAGAGTGGTGCAGGGAATAACTGGGCCAAGGGCCACTACACAGAGGGAGCTGAGCTGGTGGACTCCATGCTGGATGTGGTGAGAAAGGAGGCAGAGAGCTGTGACTGTCTGCAGGGCTTCCAACTGACCCACTCGCTGGGGGGCGGCACTGGCTCGGGCATGGGCACCCTGCTCATCAGCAAGATCCGGGAGGAGTACCCAGACCGCATCATGAACACCTTCAGCGTCGTGCCTTCACCTAAGGTGTCAGACACGGTGGTGGAGCCCTATAATGCCACCCTGTCTGTCCACCAGCTGCTGGAAAACACGGATGAAACCTTCTGCATCGACAACGAGGCCCTGTATGACATCTGTTTCCGCACCCTAAAGCTGACCACCCCCACGTATGGTGACCTCAACCACCTGGTATCAGCCACCATGAGCGGGGTCACCACGTGCCTGCGCTTCCCGGGCCAGCTGAATGCAGACCTGCGCAAGCTGGCCGTGAACATGGTGCCCTTCCCCCGCCTGCACTTCTTCATGCCTGGCTTCGCGCCCCTGACCAGCAGGGGCAGCATGCAGTACCGCGCCCTGACGGTGCCCGAGCTCACCCAGCAGATGTTCGACGCCAAGAACATGATGGCAGCGTGTGACCCGCGCCACGGCCGCTACCTGGCAGTGGCTGCCATCTTCCGAGGCCGCATGTCCATGAGGGAGGTGGACGAGCAGATGCTCAACATGCAGAACAAGAACAGCAGCTACTTCGTTGACTGGATCCCCCACAACGTGAAGACGGCTGTATGCGACATCCCACCGCGGGGCCTCAAGATGTCAGCCACCTTCATTGGCAACAACACAGCCATCCAGGAGCTCTTCCAGCGCATCTCTGAGCAGTTCACTGCCATGTTCCGGCGCAAGGCCTTCCTGCACTGGTACACAGGCGAGGGCATGGACGAGATGGAGTTCACTGAGGCCGAGAGCAACATGAACGACCTGGTGGCCGAGTACCAGCAGTACCAGGATGCCACTGCTGAGGAACACGAAGAGTTCGACGAGGACGAGGAGGCTTAGGAACTTCTCAACCTCCTGGGTCAACTTGTTGTCCACCAGCTCCTCTATGATTGTCAACTAAGCTGCTCAGGTGTGTCTGTCCAAGTGCACTGCACTGATAATATCTATACTCGTAATCCAGGGCTCCATACTCTCCCAATTTTTCTTCTCACTGTTCTCAAAGTTTCAGGATTTTCTTTCATCAAGATAGTTTTTCAGCTTCAATGTTTTTGAGCAGTATTCCTGTTCCTTTAGTAAAGAGATGAAACTCCTTTTTTTTTTTTTTTAAATCTTCCCTTTCCCAAAGGATTCAAATAAAGATTCTCAAAAGCAATCTGGGAATGATGCTGTTCCAAAATCTTTGTGAATCTGTAGAATCAAGGCCTTAGGTAAGGACTTCTCTTTATCTGATTCCTTTTGAATAGTGTGTTGAATACAAAGAAAATCAAGGGCTGCTTTACCTGTCAGATAAAAAGTATACTTAAATTGGAGGTGTTCTAAAAGAGTAGGCAGGAACACAACAGAGTTCCACCTAAAATGTACTTGAAAACCACAGCAGAAATTTAAGACAATGAATGGAAACTAACAGTTTAGCATTTTTTAAAAATGCTATTAAAACTTGAGTCTGCTTTCAATATGTGATCATTCTTGATGGATTAGGATCCCATTTTGGAGAGGGGGAAAAAAGCTGGGAAGGCAGGTGAACTGAGGTATGCGGTAAGGAAGGGAGTTTCTAAGCCTCTAGGATATTGTAGGAATAGGCAGCAATACAATCAGCCCTGTGCGAAGGAACCACTAAGATATGAAAATCCTTAGGGCAGCTTCATTGCAGAAAGTGTTTTGCTAACTTGTTGAATGCAAAGTGCAAATGTGGGTTGTTTGCCTTCTGGCATCAGATGAAACCTTTTAAATAAAAGACACATTAGAGCCTGAGGTTGTGGCTAAGTGGTACAACACTTGCCTAGCATGTGTGAGGCATTGGGTTTGATTCTTAGCACCACAAAAAGTAAAATTATTGTGTCCATCTACAATGAAAAATATTTTTAATTATTTAAAGAAAAAAAGATTAATTTATGACACATCTTTAGAAAACCCCTTCCCTTCCCCAACATTTCATAAAAATCTAAAGTGAAAACTGCCACATTTTCCCCACAACTGCTACTAAGGAGATATGTTTATATTCATGGAAAGTTTTTACTACTACCTTACATGAGGCGTGAAGCCTCTGGAGGTTCTGTCATAGGTTGACAGTAGAGTGATCACTTAACAGTGACACACATTGTATTTGGAACTACATCACGAAACAATTTGGAAAACTGGGCAGGAGAGGTGATTTGGTGGATACTTCAAAGAAAGTAAAAGAAAAAAAGCCAGCTAGGTTGGGAACATAGGAGGAGCACTTGTGTAGCACTTGCCAACAGGCAGGCCTTGTAACTGTCAGTTTTGCCTTCTAAGAACATGCAAAATTGCTGACTCACAACACTTGCATTTCAATCGGGGGATAAAACCTGTTTTATTATCGGTCGCATTTTGGAAAGCTTTAAAAGGTGGTGAGGGGTGAGCTACAAGCTCCTTCCAGCTGCTAAAGCTGGCAGAGGACATAACCAAGCTTTACGCAACCAGGCATTTGGGGGTGGGGGCGGACATCTCAAGGAGAAGTTCCTTTTCTCAAATGCGGTCATGGCTAAAGCATTAGAAATAAAGGTAAGGTAGCTTGAGTGGACTGCTTCTGCTGGGCGCCCTGGATTGTTGCTTTCACCTGGTGTGTGGAAGACAAAGCCTTCTCCAATGTGCTGGAATCCTAGGACTCTGGCTGGAGGAGCCTTCAGACTGAAGTGAAAGCTTTCTTTCCATAGCAGCTACAAGTAAACCCGAAGTGCCATCAATGGGTTAAATGTATGTGTTCTATGGAGCAGGACATGGCTGGTCTCACCAGGATGATCTTTCCTGGCAGGTTCTATCGTCTCCCTAAGCCACTGTCCTTCATCTGCAAAATGGGGGCAATCATAGTTTCTTTCCCATGGTTTTATTCTGGGGACAAAATGAGAAGATGCATGGAAGGTGCACAGCATGGTGTATCTGTAGGCACATAGCACTTGAGTGTCACCTCTGCTATTGCACCTTAGGAAAGTCCTTATGATGATCAGCTCTTTGATTATATATTCTAACTTATGAAAGTCTTTATGAAGGTTCTGCTTGCTTACAGCATACTGAAGAACTGCTCTGACTCGGGAGCAGAATTGATTTACCCTTGTTGACTGAGACAAAACCTCCAATTGGTAGATTTTTCCCCTAAGAAAAGGTTTGCAAAATGTGAATAAGATTTGCCTAGAAAGGGTTAGACTCCACTCTTTTGGAGTCTTTACCAAAGACTTGCCTTTGTTAGCACTGCATAATTCTGTTTGAAGTTCATCCTGAGCAAAGTCTTATGCTCACTGCTTTCTTTTCAGAGAATGCAATTAAAGCAGCTCTTTGGAACAGTAGGATAGCCAGCAGAGGGAAAAGTCACCAGGGCATTAGGAATGGGCAGGGCAAACTCACTGCCCCTCAGGCAGGAAGAGGACTAGAAGTGGAAGCTCCAAGAGTCGTCCTTCCCTCAATGTCTACCTCCAAGTAACCTGGCTTTCCTATTCTTCACATAGGTCAGAAAGGTCAAGGTTTCTTTTCCTAGGTCCATTCATGTCACTCCAACTAGTGTACAGCTCACATTGGCCTGCCCTAACAGGCAAGGTCCATCTTAGCACTGGTGGCCAGACTTGAAGAGCCAAAGGAGCTGCAGGAGAGGCCATTACCACCCTTCTGAAACCCAGAAAATGGACAAGGTCTAGTCCAGTAACACCCCTCATTGCCAGTCTGGCAACAGATCCTCCAGTAAACCCACCAAAGTCCCAGTCCCCTGTGGAAAGGAGCATGCCCCCATCAGCCCTTCCCTGTGTGATGGTTAACTTTGTGTCCATTTGAATGGACCTCATAGTGCCCAAATATTGGATCCAATACTGTTCTGACCGTGTCTGAATGTGTTTGGGGATGATGACAGCATTTGAATCCATAGAGATTTCCTTCCCTAATGTGAGTGGGCCTTGTCCAATCTGTTGAAGGCCAGAAAGGAATAACAAGGCTGAATAAGAGAGAATTCCTTCTGCCTGATGGCCTTCAACCTGAGACACCCACTTTTGTCAGCCTTGGAACTTGGCCTAAAACTTGGGCTCTTATTAGGTTTTGAACTTGCCAGCTCCAGTATCCTACAGAATTGCCTCTTCTGGTTCTCTGTCCTTTGAACTCAGACTACAGCCACCCAATTGGCTTTGCTGGGTGTCCACGTCGATGACTCACGCTGTAAAAAATGGGATTTGTCAGCTTTCCTAACTGCATGAGCCAATTCCTCCTAATCTGTCCCTCTCTTTCCTCATACACAAATCCCCTACTGGTTCTGGTTCCCTGAAAAACTCTAACAGACTCCAATACTTTTACTAATGATGATTCTGAAAGCTGGTAGAGAGAGCAACCTGCCCCTGATGTCATGCCAACAATTCATTAATGTCTCCTGAGGCCCCTGTCACCTGCACCCACATCAGCGTTCCATTAAAAAAAAAAAAAAGTTACTGTGTGTGTTGTGCTCTTTTTTCTCTTCAATGTATCAATGCCTCCTCATTAAAGCCTCACAAATGAGTCTTCGGGGGTGGGCTTGGTGGTGCAGTCCGATTTAGGTGGAGGGCTCGGTGGGCAGCAGCGGTGGCCTTAGGGAGGCCGCAACCCAAGGCTGGGGGCAAGGAGCAGTAGGCGTGTGCAGCGGGCACAGCCACTGCCTAAGCCCCCCCGCCCCCCCCCCCCCCCCCCCCCCCCCCCCCGGCCAGGATGCCCTGGGCCTCTTCCGGATTGGGCAGGGCCGCGGGGGTGGGTCGCCGACTGTCCCGGGGCAGGAAGCCTGGGCCGCCTCAAGGAGGCGCCAAAGGCTGCGGGGCTCAGCCACCTGGCCGCCCTTGAAGAGGCTCCCGCGGGGGACCCCGCCTGAGGGAGGTCACGGCAGCGGCGAGAATGCGGGAAGCCGCGGAGGATGGAGGAGTGGAAGGAGGAGGGCGAGGAGGAGATCCAGGAGCACGGGCCCGAGCGTTGGCTCCCCAAGTGGGAGCGGCAGTGCCAGGCCCAGGTAGAGCAGGACCAGCAGCTGTCCCCTGAGCTGCAGGAGGCGGCGGCCGCCGCGAAGCCCGAGCACAAGCTGCACCAGCTGTGGCACCTCTTCCAAGACCCAGCCACCGCAGTGGCCCAGCTCTACAAAGACCCCGTGTGTCAGCAGCCAGCACTTTCTCTATGCTCCCTTTCAAAACGCAACTGCCGCCGACACCAACCTCTACCAAAAAAGCGTGGAGACCCATCAGCGAAGTTTTGATTTTGGAGTTCAGATTGCTATCAGCGAGGCAATGAGGGTGCGCTGGCTTGGGATCAAAAACGCAGAAGAACCAGATTTCATCAGCTTCCTGGGTGGAAAGTTACCCCCAACACTAAATTCTAGAGCTCCCCCAAGACTGACTGGAGTGTCCCCAAACTGAGTTACTTCAAAGGAAACTAGCTCATCTGGAGAGACTGATTTGCCACCCTTCCTGGAGGCCAGAGCTCAACATGGAAAAGCCCTTTCAACATATTTCTGTGGAAAATTGGTGAAGAGTGTGCCTGTGGGTCCATTTTCACGTTTAGATTTAAGTCCAGATAGATTGTCTGTTTTGTTTTGTCTATTAGAGTCAACACTTGGTCTAAAAATGTTAAAATGTAAACTAAGAACCACAATTTTTGACTGTCAGCTAGCCTGTCCTAAAAATATTTTTAGAAAGTTAGTTTGAGCTTACTGGTTTTTAATAAGAATCTTTTTTCAACACTAACTAGAGTTTGTTGCTTTTCACTTTCATGTTGTGTATGTTTTCTTACACTCTTGAGTCAAGCAAGGGAAGTTCTTATGTCTTAGAACTCTGTTATGGTTATAGTTGCTTGGAGAGCCTGCTCCATGACAAGTAAGTACAGCAGGTAATTGTTGGGTTAGTTCTCATGGGAACTGGGAACTGCCTTTGACAACTTTCATTTCTAGTGTGCTGTCCAGAATGAGAGTTGATGAGCCAAGTGAGAGAGGACAGATGGAAGAGTCATCGATGTCCCTTCTGCCTATTGTCCCTCAGGTTCTCCTAGCTTTGATAGTTAGGATCACCAGAGATGCTGCTAGTGGACAGGTCCATCACCACCTCCCCAGCCAGATGTGTCATCAAAAGGCATTCTCAGTTAAGGGGCTTCAGTGTGACAAAAATCTCAAAAATAAATAAATACTCATTTTTAAATTAATTGTGCAAAACAGGAAACATTAGCCAAAAAGTCAACATGTGCCTACCCTGGGCAAGTCACTCATATCCTTGAACTCAATTTTTTTTCATGTTTCTTATATAGCAGAAATACTCTGGAAAACCCTTCTGAACTATCAGGAATAACAGGATAGAAAAATCATCAGTATATCTGCCGATGACCAATTTTTTGCTGCTCTAGGTTTAAGAGACCTCACACAGGGGAACCAGTGAGGGATTATTGAAGGAATGGGTGTGTGCAGAGAGCACTGTAGAGCTGGGCTCAGTAGTGCATGCTGAAGTAATCACAGTGATTCGGGAGTCTGAGGCAGGAGGATTAGTAGTTTGAGAATTGCAACTTAGGCTCTCAGCAACTTAGTGAGAGCCTGTCTCAAAATAACAAATGAAAAAGGGCTGAGGATGCAGTTCCATGGTAAAGCGCCACTGGATTCAATCCCCAATATCAAAAGAAGAAAGAGAGCTCTCACTGTCAGCATATCTCCTCAGGTAAAACAGGATATTCCTCCACACTAATCTACAACTTTAAGATTGTGCCTATAAATAAAATTTTCCAAGCCTTTGCTTATCTTAGCTCACTTCACTTCTCCTTTCTGAAAGTTGATTCAAACCCTCAACATCCAGCTATTCATAGCTTCTGAAAAAGGTAGCAATATTGTCCAAATGCTGTTCACTCTAGGCAATGGATCAATAATTGCTTAGTCCAGCCGGGCTCGGTGGCCTGGGAGGCTGAGGTGGGAAAATCACGAGTTCAAAGCCAGCCTCAGCAATAGCGAGGTGCTAAGCAACTCAGTGAGACCCTGTCTCTAAATAAAATGCAAAATAGGGCTGGGGATGTGGCACAGTGGTTGAGTGCCCCTGGGTTCAATCCCTGGTACCTGCCCCCCCCCAAAAAAAAAAACTGCTTAGTCCATACAATGCTAGAAACTTCACCATTCTAGGACACTCTGCCTCTGATCTGAAATGCTACCATAGAGTTCAAGCCAAAAAGAATGTTCTTTCAGGTGGGATTCCTGTTCATTGCATGCCCTCCTCCAAACTTTGTAATACCTATTTTATTCCAAAGAAGATGGAATCATCATCCAGTACTCCAGTCTCCCTCATAGAATTCCCTGCACCTGGAATACAGGCCTTACAAAAACCACTTCTATAAACTCAAGCCATGTCTCAGGCAATCCTACATGAATTATCCTCCATTTCAAGACAAATTTAAGATTAAGGATTTTGTTATGGATAGGTGTAGCCTATTTTAAAGAGGTTTTCTCAGTTGTAATATTTACATTATGACTTAGTTTACATTATGTATGTGTGTGTGTATATGGATGTGTGTGTGTGTGTATGTTTTTAATTAATGGAATGACTTTAATTCTTGTAGACTGTGTTCAAGGCTTTTGCATTTATATGAAATACATCTAAATTTTGACTATGTTAGGGAATATGATATTGAAGATAGGTAGTTAGTGTAGTTAGGTAAATCCGGTCTAATATCGAGTAAGATAAAGAAAATGGAGACCATTATCAAGAATGGAGTCCAGGAAACCAGAAGAGCACCTGGGAAAATTGAAATATTAATGTCTCCAAGGCCTAGAACCCATCCTAAGGAACCTCCCAACAAAAAGGGAGGTACTAATCAAACCACCCCAGGCCCTTCCTGCCCAGATTACTCCTCCCTGCCCCAACAGTCCACCTATCTCCTCACCTTTTGGCCTTCCCACCTGCATTCTATCACTGCAGGATAGAGGGAAACAAAGGACAGGAATGTGGGAGGACTAAAAGAAGACCTTAGATATAAAAAAAGGGAAGACCTCCCCTTTCCACGCATTCCGCCTTTTGGGTCCCCATTTTCCTCTGGGAGGAAGTCTTTTCTGCTATCCTTTAATAAAGGCTTCCACTTTCCACTCTACTCTTGCCTGGATATGCTTCTCTGGTGTTATGCTTCAGCATTGGGGAAGCAAGGACTCAGTAAACAGCAGTAACAATAGGGATCAAACCCAGGATCTTGCACATGCTAGGCAAGTGTTCTGCCATTGAATTATGTCCCCAGCAGATTTTCTGTTTTTCTTCTCTTTATCCTTTTGCTGTATTAATTTATATTTTATTTTTATTTTAATTTTTTGGGGGGTTGAGGGGACCCAGGGATTGAACCTAGGGGTGTTTAACCACTGGACAACATTCCTAGCCATTTTTTATATTTTATTTAGAGACAGGTTCTCACTGAGTTGCTTAAGGCCTCACTAAGTTGCTGATGCTGGCTTTGAACTCAAAATCCTCTTCAGTGTCAGGAGCTGCTCTGGAAATACATGCCCTAAAGTCCTCAGCAAAAGACACTGAACAATTATTGGGCCATGCAATAACTTGGGCTTTACCTCCACTCAGATAATGAGGCATGGCTCCAGGAGTAGGCATTACCTGGTGGGGTTGAGTTACACTCACCTGTTCCTTGGTAATCCTACCCCTTTGCCCTTTTGGGGATAGAATGTTCCATGGAACCTCCCCTATATAAGAATAAGGAATTCCGGTGGCTTTCTCTTTCCACAGACCCCTAAGGTCAGAGAGCTGTCCAGCATTTTGAAAAGGTACTTCTGTGTGTTTGTGTGCTTTCTTCACCATTTTCTTACAGTATTGAAATAGTCAGATTTGTGATCCTAGCATACGTCACCAGCTAGGATAGATGGCAATACCTCAGCCTCCCAAGCTGCTGGCATTGTAGGCATTCACCCCTGCACCCAGACTTTTTGCTTTACTTTTGAGAGATTTTCTCTCTCTTTATGGAGATTTATTTTCAATTTCCAAGAAGTCTGATTCTTTTTTAATCTCTCTGAGATTGTCAATGGCAGCTTTTCTGGAGTGCTTTTGTGTTTCTTCAAACTATTTCTGATGATCCCTAGCCTTTTGCCAATAATTAACCCCTTAAGTCCCACATTTTCAATTCCGTGAATATTTCAGCAAAATTGACACAGGTGCATTAATATAGGTTAGAAATCATAATCTAGATTACATATATATTATGTTAATTAATGTTATACTATAAATTTTAATTATATAATTATGTAGTATACATTTATTTTTTTTGTTTTTTTTGTTTACTTTCTTTTTTTTATATTGGTTGTTCAAAACATTACAAAGCTCTTGACATATCATATTTCATACATTAGATTCAAGTTGGTTATGAACTCCCAATTTTACCCCAAATACAGATTGCAGAATCACATCAGTTACACATCCACATTTTTACATAATGCCATATTAGTAACTGTTGTATTCTGCTACCTTTCCTATCTTCTACTATTCCCCCCTCCCCTCCCCTCCCATCTTCTCTCTCTACCCCATCTACTGTAATTCATTTCTCTCCTTGATTATTTTCCCATTCCCCTCACAACCTCTTATATGTAATTTTGTGTAACTATGAGGGTCTCCCTCCATTACCATGAAATTTCCCTTTTCTCTCCCTTTCCCTCCCACCTCATGTCTCTATTTAATGTTAATCTTTTCTTCCTGCTCTTCCTCCCTGCTCTGTTCTTGGTTGCTCTCATTATATCAAAGAAGACATTTGGTATTTGTTTTTTAGGGATTGGCTAGCTTCACTAAGCATAATCTGCTCTAGTGCCATCCATTTCCCTGCAAATTCCATGATTTTGTCATTTTTTAGTGCTGCGTAATACTCCATGGTGTATAAATGCCACATTTTTTTTTATCCATTCATCTATTAAAGGGCATCTGGGTTGGTTCCACAGTCTAGCAATTGTGAATTGTGCTGCTATGAACATCAATGTGGCAGTATCCCTGTAGTACGATCTTTTAAGGTCTCAGGGAATAGTCCGAGAAGGGCAATAGCTGGGTCAAATGGTGGTTCCATTCCCAGCCTTCCAAGGAATCTCCATACTGCCTTCCAAAATGGCCGCACCAGTTTGCAGTCCCACCAGCAATGTGCAAGAGTACCCTTTTCCCCACATCCTTGCCAGCACTTGTTGTTGTTTGACCTCATAATGGCTGCCAATCTTACTGGAGTGAGATGGTATCTTAGGGTGGTTTTGATTTGCATTTCTCTGACTGCTAGAGATGGTGAGCATTTTTTCATGTACTTGTTGATTGATTGTATGTCCTCCTCTGAGAAGTGTCTGTTCAGGTCCTTGGCCCATTTGTTGATTGGGTTATTTGTTATCTTATTGTCTCATTTTTTGAGTTCTTTGTATACTCTGGATATTAGGGCTCTATCTGAAATGTGAGGAGTAAAGATTTGTTCCCATGATGTAGGCTCCCTATTTACCTCTCTTATTGTTTCTCTTGCTGAGAAAAAACTTTTTAGTTTGAGTAAGTCCCATTTGTTGATTCTTGTTATTAACTCTTGTGCTATGGGTGTCCTATTAAGGAATTTGGAGCCCGACCCCACAGTATGTAGATCGGAGCCAACTTTTTCTTCTATCAGACGCAGAGTCTCTGATTTGATATCAAGCTCCTTGATCCACTTTGAGTTAACTTTTGTGCATGGCGAGAGGAGGGGATTCAGTTTCATTTTGTTGCATATGGATTTCCAG